GTGTATATGTGTATATATATATATGTGTGTGTGTGTGTATGTGTGTGTGTTGTATGTGTGTGTGTGTTTGTTTGTGTGTGTGTGTGTGTGTATGTGTGTGTGCGTGTGTGTGTGTTTGTAAATATAAAAATTTTAAAAAAGCAACTCAGATACACGTGAACGTTTGCCTTACACAGGTAACTATATCAGATGCAATGATACTCTTGGAATAGCAATCGTTGTTACCATACCAAATGCAGTGAGACGATTTAAGCCTCAGCCTTGGCATTTCTTATGTTTGGGATTGTCCTTGCAGATGATTCTGAGCTTCCCCTTTCGACGCACGAACTGGCAGAAACTACACACCAGCTTCAATGACGCTTTATACTTCATGGTTACGTTATTACTGTACGTATAGATTTGCGGATCAAACTCTCCCGATGTGAGTTGTCAACTTATCCGTTTCCTATTTGTCGGTGACGTGACTGATCGTGTGTATCTATTGATATGGGCTATAATATCTGGCTGAAATTTGTTTTTGTTCATAGAATGGCCAAAATGTGTGTCAGCAACAGCATGTATTCAAAATTGTAAACCGCACCACATCTCCCACCAAGCGGCCAGACCCCAATGACCCAGTCCCTGAACCCAGTGCCCCAGTCCTCAACCCAAGTGATCCAGTACTTCACTTCAGTGATCCAGCCCCTGGGCCTGAAGTCCTGAATCCAGAGCCCTCTAGCGTAGTCCTTACCCCCCCCCCCCCAGGAATTCTACTTTTTTTTGTTAACGTTTATTATTGCTGTTCAACGTCTGGGTGTAAATTATCGAGTGAGTTTTATTCAACGTTTATTACTGCCGTGATGGGTGCAGACTGTTTCAGACTGTAAATAGAGTGTAGAGTGTAGAGTGGCGAGTTTTACTTGTGTCTATAGAATAAAAACACCCGAGTTTGGAATGATCTCTACAATCGAAAACTTGGTTTTTAATAATAGTTGTGGGTTATGCTTCATTCTCCTATAGTCCCATCTGTGACTGTGACTGATGAGCTAGGAGCGATTACATAGAGCGATGGGAATTATGGACTTTTAATAAACTGCAAAAAGGGCACGTGCACTCTCTGGCCTGTGATGTAGGTCCGATTACAAGTATCATTATATATATATACATATAGTATTTATATAAAGCAACAATGAGCAATTCCTGCAGTAGTTATTAGTAAGGAGCATACTTAACAAGATCGTACCCACGGACACAAAGCCCTTCGTTCTGCACTTGCACTATTGAGATATACTTAGATATATCTATTGGACTGTCCTCAATAGTTGCGTACGGACCAGCGTCTAAATACAGACTCTAGCATAAAGTCCTCGATAGTATCAAAATTTTACACTAACAACTTTCTCCAAATCAACATAACACCATGGTATCTCTAGCTGAACCCCGTCGTAAGACCAAGATGTCATTCGACCCCAATAACAAGACCTGGCAGAATGATGAAACCAAGTTTGGCAAAACACTTATGAAGAAAATGGGATGGTCAGATGGTGACGGTTTGGGAAAGGAGAGAAAGGGAACAACATCGCATTTAAAAGTTAAAGTGAAAAATAACTCCTTAGGATTAGGCGCAGACAAGCAAGGTGCCGGGGATGAGGCGTGGCAGGATCTGCAGGCGGGATTCAATAATCTGCTCGAGAACTTGACCAACGCACACACCACGGGAGAGGTCAATTCGCACAAGAAGGCTACTACAAAACTCGAAGACAAGACTAACGCCAGTAAACGCAGGTTTTACGGAAGGTTTGTGAAAAGCAAGGATGTGTCCAACTACACAGATCACGATATGAACCAGATTCTAGGTAAAAGGGACGCACTGGCTACAAAGGTAGTGGAGACTACTACTGAGACTATTGAGTTGGGTATGGAGATCTCGGAGGACCAAGACCAGTGCAAGGTGTCCGGTCTGGTGACTACGACGAATACAGTCAGTATGACAGACTACTTTGCAAAACGATTAGGTAGGTATATAGATATATATATATAAACGTATATTTATATTCATGTACAAGAATATGAAAGTTGCGTTTATGCTCTAGCGTGGTTATAGTTATGTATGTGTCATAGAGCATTCTTGTTCATGGTACCAATGTGTGTTTCCTGATATGTATAAAGGTGCTACTTATGTATCTGTATACAGTCACTATTTAACGTACATCTCCTATCACCTGGCCACTCAATGCAAGCTCTGCGTGTTTAGACCATGATGTGAGGGTGTTTCAAATGCACTATTCTTCGCATGTGGTATTGCAAACGAGATGAAGGAAAGCAGTATAAATTACTATTAAGCTCGCATGTTTCGATGTATTTTGTAGGAAGTATATGGCGCACATATATATATATATCTACATGTACATTGTACATACATACATATCTGTATATGTAAGTATGTATGTATGTACGCGTATACGTATATAAATTTATGCAGATACTTATAAAATTTATGCGTGTTTTTATTTCAAGTCCGTGTGTGTTCACATTTATATATATATATAAAGTTCAGTCGAGTATAGCTGTATTTTTATATTCATATATGTGTTTTATATTCATTTCTCACCTGTATTGGTTGCCTATCAAAACAAAGTTAAATCTATATAGATATTTATATCTCTCTCTAGTCTATTCCTGCTTTTTTTTTTCTGGCGTTTACATCGTTTTTTCTGGTTTTTATTTCATATCATTGATTTCCAACTTATTAATAGTCATCTTGTGAATACTCATATTTATACGTACTTGACTGTTTGCAACAGCCGAGAGGAGAGCAGCAAGTAGTGTCACGCCGATTGGCGACAGAGAGGATAGTGTGGCCTTAGAAATTGTAGGTAGCACCAGTGGCGGTAGTACAAGTGCAGATAGCAGCGTGGTCACAAGCGATGCGGAGGAAGTCGAGGAAGAAGCCAGTGTCACAGTACTGGACGATACAGAGACTGACAGTATAGTAGAAAGCAAGGCTGAGAAAAAAAGTAAGAGTGGAAGCAAGAAAAGTAAGAAAGAAAAGAAGAGCAAAAAAGAGAAGACAAGTAAGAAAGACAAGACAGCGGTTCCGAGCGAAAGTGTGACTGGTGTTGGAAATGAACCGATATCTAAGAAGGAGAAGTCAAGGAAACGATCAAGGACTGCGGAGGATGTTGAGGAGGTACAGCAGCCACCAAAGAAAGCCAAGAAAGATAAGGTAATGTGGTATGGACAAGAGTATATTTATATATATATATATATATATATGTGCGAATACATGTACTTCTGCATTTTTATATGAATTTGTAGTCAGATGCTCAAATTAGCAGCTTCCACTCGAGTTTTACAACCGGATTAATGATGGCGTTCGCCCCTGAATTCCTGGCACGTCTCTATTGCGATGATATCTGTTTGTAATATTATCCTATATTGCTCCCCTATATTCTTTACGTGATTTCGTGTGTAGCAGTAACATGGCACAATGAATCAGTTGAAATTGTAAATATGTTGATATGTCACAAGTCTCCGTCTGTTATTTTAGCATCAAACCGCTTCATAGACTAATCGCGGTAAAAACTATCATTAACATCGTCCTGGATCGTTCCATGTGTCGTAGCAGGTGTGTGTATGCGTGTATTTATCTCTATATATATATGTGAACATTCTGTCATCCATCACGTGCTTTTATCATATATATTTTTCCTTGTCGGGTTAACTGATAAATTCGTTGTTATTCGTTACCAATGTGTATACAGAAGCACTCCGATGCGTCCCAAAAGAAGGAGAAGAAGTCATCAAAAGAGAAAAAAGCTAAGAAGTCCAAGAAATAAGTATTCAATAAGAAATAGAAGTTCAACTCATAGTACCTCCTGATTTTTCAATGCTAGTCATAATTTATAAAGGACAAAATCGTGTGTTTTTCCAAGGTGCTTCAATATTCTTTGCTTATTTCTTTTACGGGTTGAACGGTCGTTCACTAGTATCGGAGCCCAATATTGAAACATTGACCAGTTAGACATTATATTGACATGTTGAAGGACTTTTACAAGAATACACATTATGCATCTTAGTATGTACTCAACGCGTCGCCGTCTAGATACCATTCCCTATTATAACCGTCTAGCCTACTTTACTTAGTGAACAACTGGCGAGATCTGTTGCATGGATACATGCGTACTGAAATTCAATGATTAAATGTAAGCGATTTTGATTTATTAATTGTGTCGAGCCCGTGTCCCTTTCTTTGAATAGGCAATGCAAGCAGGACTGTCTCCGAGTGGAGAAATCATCATTTTACCTCAATCGTAAAAAGTCACTCACTTGATCGAATGAAATCGATTCTGTTCCCGTGTTCCACGACATAACCCGCCTTTTTCAAGAATGTCTACAAATGAAGCATTTTACAGAAAAGCGGTACTCCCAAATAAGCCAGAAAAAGCAAAAGTTGATTTACTCCTGATTTCGCTCTCAATAAATACTTGACAAATGAAAATTAATAATTCATCGACAAATTTTGCTTCAGGAATGCTACAGCCAAAACTGAGTACCATTAACCAATCATGTTCACGAAATCAAAGTCGCTGCTGTAAAATCGTTCTCAATTCTAAAATAAAGAGTTGATTGAAATCGCCGTAGAAGTCATTTACAGCCAATCAATCGTGTGTATAAATATAAGAACCACGATTTTTTCAGCGGGGTATGCTTCTTGTAAAGTATCACCCAATGGGCAATGATACGCCCACATTCGTGGCTCGCAGTAGGGGTAGCCCATCGATACATCTCAAGACGTTTGTACTGCATGCGTCTTTGTACAATGTGTTCATATCGATAGAGGTTGTTTCTTCAGGTATTCTGATCTACTATTCTGCAGCTTTTTTAAATCGCTATTTCGTAAAACAACTTGCGCAAAACTGGGTTGCGCTTGAGCAGGTTTCTCAAGGCAGCCAAACTCAAAGATCCAAGTCACTGATTTTATTGAACATAGATTTGTGTGATATGAGAGAAATATATGTATACACTGTTTCAGGTAATGCAATTCATTCTGTCATAGAATAGATGGTAGAAACAATCGCGCACACATAAAATATAACTTAAAAGATATACAAGGCTCAGACGTATACCTACATAGCGCACGTACGCACATATAGCTAAGGCTATCCACGTTTAGCTTAACGTACTCCTACATTGTCTGCCTAATGATAATCGACTCAGGCATCATGTCTCCAGGCATGCCCGATTCTAGTAATTTTCTAACCTCAGTGGGTATGGGCGCAAACCAAACTGCAAAATCAACGCAGCAACAGCAGTATAGAAGTACAGATGCGATAATGCGCGGCACCATGTCTAATCCTGATTTTCAGGGGAATAGAGACAAGACTCCACTAACATCTAGTTCTTTGTCTGAGACATCCACAGTACACGGACGCCCATATTCTCTAGTTGAGGGACCAAATAATCCTTTGTTCTTCAACACCCCGATGTCTATGAACCAGAATCTCAACCAAGTATTGGGTCAGAATCCGAGTCATAACCAGACGTTGGCACAGGGATTAAATTCTGGACTCAACTTAGGGATGCCAAGTTTTACACCCTCGCAACAAACGCAGCAAATTGCACAGCAGCATTTCCAGCAATCTGTGCAGTTACAGACAAACCTAATGTCGCAGCAGCCACAACCGCAACAACACTCGCCGCAAGCTGTACCAATAGGGCAACCACAGAGTGCACAACAACTGCAGCACCAACCTAACTCGCCATTGAATTCGCTGAAGTGGGGATTGAATTCGCCATCGCCCGAGTTGCAGCGCTCATTCACCCCAGGACAACTGGCCATGCATGCGCAGCCCATGAGGCTGATGCAATCTATGTCGATGGGCTCGTTTGATCGAGCAAACATGCGCGGCAATACAAATCCATTGTGGCAGATACAGGCAGTACCGGCACAATTCAACCGACAGGATATGAAGAAGGCGGCTATGCGACCACGAAATACACCGATCCCTATCAAAAGTAAGGTATCGGCCGATGGGACTACCGGTGTTGAGAAGCCGGCAGAAGATGCACATCGTAAAGTGCGTAAGCGCCGTGGGTTTAAGGAGTTGGTGCGCAACATCACATGTGCGTATAACGGGTGCTTGCGCGTATATGCAACAGAGAGCTCTCTACAAACTCACATACGCATCAAACACAACAACATACGTCCACAGGGTTACGAAAAGCCTGTTAAGAACAAAGAAGCGAAGCGAACTGTCTCCACATCTGTATTACTGACCGCTAAAAATACAGACACGGCACAAGTGTCGAATACAGAAAACCCCAGCGATGAGGCTGTGAAATCCAGTGCGGAACAATCTGAGCGAACTGCCGATTTGGTTCAGAGCAATGAAAATTACAATTTGAATCAGCAAACAAAAACCGCAGAAACTGAGAAGGGTACCATGCAAAAGAAGACTGCAGATATAAAGGACAAGGAGCATGATACGAATATGTCGTCCATCGCCGAGGCTACGGATGGCGAGTTATTCTCCATGGACCAGCATGTCTCTAACATTCTGAGCGTGTCGGAGATGCCTTCGCTGAAATCAGTACAGAGTGATATCACGAACTATCACTCCTCCATGCTTCATTCTACCAACACCGGGGGAGCGTCCAGCACAACCACGCCAAGTCCTAATCTTGACAGGAAGCTTTCCTCTAGCAGTCTTATGCTCAACATGAAGTTAAGTGACTTGCATCTGGATGCGGAAACCCAGGCCAACATGCTGGTTAATAGCATACCTGAAAATGTAGAGCTAAACATACCTTCCCCTCACGATATGATGTCAGCACTGGACTTCGCACAAGATGATAAATTTCAAGATCTTACCCGAAGACACAGTATGGTAACACTGTCCAATGCACCTATGTGGGAGTTAGAGGACCATTCGACCGCTTTCGCGAATATGTTCAACGCTCCGGCCCATCAATCGTTGAGTTCCGCATCGGCTACACAGGCGAACAGCACCAGTCTAGCAATGGCGCTGGATGGCATTCCCGAGATTTCATCTCCCGAATTCCTACTGGGTGACTCGCATCTGACAGATACCCGGGGACTGGATTTGATGGTAGATGAGACCTTTGACTTCGACGATATGAACTTTTTGAACCAGGGAAGCTTGCTGCTTGGAGACATGAGCACTCTACTCAACTACAGCTGATGTGCTAAGGGTTTTGAAAAGTTAAAGTAATATATTGTAATTCATTGCAGGAGGGATGACGGTCCGGTACTCTCAGGATGTGATGATCGTTCGGCAATGTGTACGACAAGGTCAAACGCATTGCGAGAAGGTCGACCGGGACTGTACTAACTTAGATTTCAATAGACATAGAAGAAGAGGGAAAGTAATTTTAAGCCCGTTTAAAGGCTCTTATTTGGCAGAAATGATATACAAGTCTAGCACCAACTTGTTGTGGCGGTCTCTGCGAAATCGGCGTAGGCATTTACAACACATATAGACTCAGAAAAGGGATTTCCCCAACAGCGGAAGAATAGGACCCGTTGTTAAATATTCATGAGCAACACTTAGCCTGTATTTGGGGATAGGCTCCTACGCACTAGAGCGCTTACCTCTGGCCTTTGCGCTAAGCATAGAGATTTCACGGTGCTCCGGAAAAGGATTGCGCAACCTGACCGACCACGACAGGCATGATAGTCACGCATGAACAGAGAGCACCTGCATTTCAGTTCGAATGCTGAAGTAGTGTGCTATGTTAGTTTGCGAACGCTGAAAGTGGTTTGCTAGAACAGTGGTTCTGTGACCATGAGACCTACAGAGGTCTAAGACGTCAGAGGTATGAGAGGTGTGGCGACACTATTTCGATTTTACGTACGCAACGAAGTACGCACAGTTAGAACTCGCAAAAAAGCCCGCGAATGAGCGGAGGACAATTACACTAGGAGAGCACTTGCTGTACTAGAATTTGACAATAAATGTAATTCACAGAGTTGTTTTGTAGACATATTGGCGTTCGGATAATACATCGCGTGATGGTGGTACACACACAGAACATTGCGCGACCGTGTGAATGATATTGTTACTTCTCTCAACAGATCATAGTACTTTGAGGAGAGAGTGTATCTACAAGCATACACCTACACTGAATTAAACATGTCGAACAAACTTGCACCTCAGTATATGTGGAAATTCGTCTCACATCAATTCATCTCAATATAATAGAAAGGTCATGCAATCGTGTAGCTGGTTTTAAAGATCACGATGATCGGACCGAAGCAAAGCACCAACGCATGTATCCTTATTACATCGGGTGTCTTTTCTGTCTTATCAGTAAAACATGATTTCATGTTGCACTGGGTGTTTATTCTGATCTATAATATCTGTCACCTCTGATCTACAATATAAATGTGTATCTCTGGAATGCATGTGTCTGTAATAATTGGAAGTGATATTTGGATACATGTATTCAGAAATGTCGGTATCTGTAATATCTGTTCCTGTAACAACTAGCATCTATGCATCTGTGATATCTACAATATGGATCTATATTTGTAATTTGGTCGTCTCAACACTGACACCTGCATTAGAGTTCCCGCGTACGCCATCGAATAACCAATATGCAAATATTGAGTATTCCCATCTAGCAGCAGGGTGTTGTCACATCGCACCTCACCGCACCCTCGTCACAATTCTCGACCGAGCTACATCTCATGATTGCAATACTACAGTAGTTTTGAATCGTAGAAACGATTGAACCGTAGAAAATATGAAATGATCAATACTATTTGTGGCTAGATGATATAGCAGCATAAATCCTATTTTGAACCAGAATGCCAAAGGCTAATTTTGAACTTGTTATATTTGTATTTCATAGGAGTGACTGATCCTATCTAAAGCTACATGCCATCATAGTATATAAACTATACAATGCCACACTTGAACCCCTTTACATCACTGCTGCTGTAATTATCAAAGAGCTGTCTGTTGGTAAAAAGCTTTATTACAGCATGGTAGGTGATTATATATGTCTTGTGACTGTGTTTAGTCTGTCAAATTTCATACTCGACTTTCGAGAGAGAGGCATTCTATTACAAATAATATTAGGCTCTACAGCAGTACAGTCTACTATTTTACTGCCGGGGAGCATTAGCAAGCGAGGCTACCGAATCTGAAATCTCACAACATAAAAATGTAAAACGAGCAGTACAGTCTACTATTTTACTGCCGGGGAGCATTAGCAAGCGAGGCTACCGAATCTGAAATCTCACAACATAAAAATGTAAAACGACGTGACCCTCGGATCCCCGCTAAAATTTGCGTTTTGTAGATTTTAGAATACAACAGCAAGTCAAAATGTCGTTTTCTACACACGTTAATCTGTGCTGAATCTAAAAGCAGACAATATTTGCAACATATCGTGACGAACCTTCGTTGGTTATTTTTTGAGACATCATGCCGTTGTCGTTTACCAGGAACAAACGAATCACTGGCGAGAAATATCTGTGAATTGGTTTTAAAACAAGCCCGAAATATACATAGCCTTCTAAAAATTGTACCAAATATGACATATGCATAGCCGCTTTTTAAAATATAAAAAAGAGGCTATGAACTCATTGTCGGAGGCTATGACTCATTGCTTTTTATATCCCTTTTATACCCCCACCAATGTAGGGATTCTAATTGAATCGCACACAAGAGGACAGGAAGTGATATTGTGATCATGTGTCTGATTCAAGATTTCTTTATAAATGATAACAGTAAATATAACGAGTACGCTAGCAAACGTGCCACTACACACTTATATTAAATACATTTACATTACTTGTTTTAGCATATCCTTACAATATGTCTGATGCACCTTCAAATGCAACTGTGTCGGAAATCGATGACGTTAACGAATTGAAGGATGACATTTTAGTTGACAGTCCAGCCCGATATTTGGGTCTTATGGGTCGCGTGGGAAGGTAGGCTGTTTAAAATGTACGTGATATATTGGCTCTCTCTCTATATATATATATATATATATATATA